GCTAAAGCCTGGGTTTGTTGCCTTCCCCTGCCGGTTCACACCTCAGTTCTGGCCCAATGTGCTTTTAAGGTTAAAAAAGAGTTATTCCCAGCCATTAGCACCAATAGCTACTGTCTAAATTTCAAAACAGGTTGCTCTCAGATTCTTCTAAATACCTCACAGCAAGCTACGTTGTACTTTTTAATGAAAAGTAACACATAGCGCAAAGAATGCAAAATAGACTATGTGGTGTTAAACTTCCATTTGTTTCAAAGTGTTTAAAACTGAAGTCTTTGCAAAAAATAAACAACGATTTTGTCATTTATTGCCAGCGAGCAGCTCCCTGCCTCAGACCGAGAGGATTCTCCGGGCAGCGGGTGACCTGGTACCACGCAAGGAGGAGCCGGCGGCCGTACCTGCTGCGGACGTCCTTGGCCCGGATGGGCGCGAGGAGGCTGACCGTCGACTTCATGGAGTCCGTGGAGCAGCTGTCACAGCCCATGGCGCTGCCGTGGAGCCGGCTGTCGCTGGAGCTGCTGCTCACCCTGCCCAGCCCGCGCTGCCGCTGACGCCGGTAATCCAGGCAGTCCGCGTCAATCCTATTAGTCGTCCTCAGCGCGTGCGAGGCCACGTTGAGCTCCACGGGCGGCAGGGGCCGGCCGGGCGCTATCCGGGACAGCCGGGGCTTGCTGCCCGCGAGCGCCCTGCCTCGCAGGAGCTCCCCGAAGCTGCTCGAGAGCTCGGACACCCGTTTCCCCAGGTCGGCCGCGTTGCCTCTGCTCTTCCCCGCGGGACTCGCGTCGGAGGCGTCCGGCGAGGAGCTCTGCTCCGAGGGGGCCGCCCGGGCGCCGGCCGCGGGGCCCAGGGGGGCGTCCTGCAAGGAGCCGTTGGAGGAGCTCGTCTCGTTGGCATCGGTCAGGCTTTCCTGGCTCGTTTTTAACCGCCTCCACCTCCTCCAGCTCTTCTCATCCAGGGAGGCCGCGCGCTCCAGCCGCGGTTTCCTCGGAGGCCTCGGGGTGATGGATTTGATCCTCGCGTTGCCTTTGGGCTCTTCGGCTGGAAGTTTCAGCGCTCCCGGCGCGGAGGAGCCGGTGCAGGGGGGCTCCTCCGGGGTGAGCTCCCTGTTGTCC